AAAAAAAAAAAGATATTCCTGAATTACTACTTAGTCTAAAGCTAATTAATTCAAAGCTAATTAATTCAAACACAAGATCACACGACCATCACTGCAGTCTGACTTGTTCCTCTACCTCACCATTCTGACAAGATCATCTGGGATGAGCGGTTACTCTATAACATTTGAGAAGTATTAGATATCCTTCATTTGATATTATCCATACACCATATTGCATTGCCCTTCATTAATCAAAAAAGTAACAATTAGAGTGAGTCAGAATTTGATTCCTTAATTTCAGGCCCCTTGCTTCAACCCTCACCTTCTGACACATGAGGCACTTCGGCTAATGAACATAAATTCAAATATCTGTTGGTCTTAACTCGATCCTGTGAATTCATGGAGATGTTCCCAGTATCTAAAGATCTTCCCAGTTTATCACTAGATACGTAGACCTAAAAAAATTTAATATTCTCTATGTTTTAAGATACTAACAACCACCTGTTAAAAAGCTGTATATTACTAAAGCAATCTAACTTTAAATCAAATCAAATTTTTGGAGAAAGTAAGGTAATACTTACTGAATAACTGAAATTCCTGTCAAAACATAAAAGGGAAAATCATGTTCACTGAACCCAGATCCATCTTACGTATAATAGTATCGTTCAACAAAAAATATACGTATCCTGGGCTTCCCTGGTGGCGCAGGGGTTGAGAGTCCGCCTGCCGATGCAGGGGACACGGGTTCGTGCCCCGGTCTGGGAAGATCCCACATGCCGCGGAGCGGCTGGGCCCGTGAGCTATGGCCGCTGAGCCCGCCCGTCTGGAGCCTGTGCTCCGCAACGGGAGAGGCCACAGCAGTGAGAGGCCCGCGTACAACAACAACAACAACAACAACAACAACAACAACAAAAGTATCCTGTGTAAGAGATAAACTGAAATATAAAAATCATATTTTATATTAAAATGTGTATTTTATATAACGTATAAAAATAGCATTAAGACATTTCTTATAATAAGTTAGTTAAGTCAATTACTGTTCCTCGTAGCTTATTTTGAGATCAGCTTTTTTCCTTTCTCTTAATGACAACAAAGATCACTCTGGCCCTTGGACCTACTTCCTGGGCTTCTGTGCATACCCACCCCATCACTGTGTCCTCTCCTGAGGAAATGCCTTTCTTCCCCTGGTATCCACAAGAGGAACATGGGGGTCTGATCTGGCTTGCAACCAACAGCCCACACACGTGTGGTGCATTTTGTGCTCACTGCCCTTCTTGATGGTGTTGCACTGGGCACACTTCTGGCCACAGTCCTCTGCCCCTTCCATACTGAATTCAGCTCCCTGGCTGAGCACACCTGCAAGGCTCTACACTCAGCAGATGGTGGCCCTGCTTCCTCCCAGGACATCAGTTAACTGCTTATCACTGGATATACATTTTTATGTTTATCTTACTAAAAAAAAAAAACATTACTAATCTTCCTTATTAATTCTGATACATTTTTAGGCATTTTAATTTGGATTTTCAGGTAAACAATCATTTTCAAATAACGATAGATTCATTTCTTCTTTTCTAATATTTATGCCTCTTACTTCCTTTTCATATTTACCACATTGACTGGAACCTCCAAATACGGCTAAAAAACTGGATAACGGAAACATCCCTAACTTTAATGAGAATAGAGGTTATGACAGTTGCCATTGGCTTCTGATATCTGTTATGAAATTAAGAAAGTAGCTTAGTTCTCATTACATAGTTTATTCAGGTTTGTGGAAGATAAAGACCACCAAGCTTTGTGGCTTATCTATCCTTTCAAGAAAAATCCAATGACAAAGTCTGTCTTATATTATCCTGTCTTACAGGGAAGGGGAAGATGGGCAATAAATGAAAGTAAACGTTCTATAGTCAGCGTGGCAGTTCGCTCCCAAAGGGGCCTCAGTGATCTTCACCTGCTGGTGTTCACACCTCTGCCTCCGCATCGTCTTCATGCACGTTACGGAGGGCTGATCAGTAGGACTAATAGGACGGTGTGGAAACGAAGGAGTGCGACTTACAAGGCTTGCTCATAAAGACACTGCAGCTTCTATTTGCCTCCTCTTCTTCTCACCTTCCTCCCCCAACTTCTCCTGCCCTGTCCCTCCCTCTCCCTCCTCCCTCTCTCTCTGGTCTTGCTCTGGGGGAAGCCAGCCGCTGTGTCATGAGGACACCCAAGGACCTATGGAGAGGCCCTGTGGCAAGGAACTGACGGTCCTGCCAATGCTGTGCGTCCTGCCAATGCCATGCGTGCGACTGAGCCATCTTGAAAGTGCGTCCTCCGACCCCAGTCAGGCCTTCTAGAGCCCTGGCTGATGTCTTGACAGCAACCTCATGACAGACTCAAGCTACAGGTCCCCAGATAAGCTGCTCCCAACCCACAGAAACTGGGATAATAAACATTTGTTGTTTGAAGCTGCTAAGTTTGGGGTAACCTGTTCTGTGGCAACAAATAACTAATACAGAAGGTATGTGGAAAACGACTCTGAAAGACAACAGGATGGCTAGAGGGCTAAAATAACAGCAGAATGGGGATGTAAAGCAGTTCAAACTTTCAAGAAGGACATGGCAATGCCTTAAAAACAATCATAAATTTTTTTTTTTTTTTAACCAGCAAACTCACTTCAGAGAATTTATTTCTCCCAAGAAAACAATCCAGAATAGGGGGACAGGCCTTATTCACAAAGATATTTTTTAACAATACCATGTATTTAAATTTTTTTTGAAAAAAAAGTTTGTTTTCTAAGATTGAAGATGATGTAAGTATGCAGCAAATTAAAAATCTTGTTTACAAAGTTTTAAATGACATAAGAAAATTAATATTATTATTGAACATTTAAAAATACTTATTATGTGCCGGGTGCTTTCCTGGATCTTTATATCCATTAATTCACTTGATCCTCATAATAATCTTACAAGACTAAGACTATTCTTATTTCCATACAGAGGTGGAGAAACAAGCCGAGAGGCATTAAGTAACTCATTCAGGTCATACAGTTCTCAGCAGGGAAACTGGAATTTGAACCCGGATAGTCTGACCCCACAGCACATGCCATGAACCATTTTGCAGTGATGGTGAACAATGCTTCAGAAACGATACTAAGTGAAAACCACATACCCAAAATGTGATCACAGTTCTGTTAAAAACCGTCCAAGGGGGGGGAAAAATTAGCAAAAATATTAAATGGTGATTTTCTTAGAGTCATGGAATAATGGATACTGTTATCTTATTTACGTGTTCTGATACTTTCCAAATATTTTACAATGGTCAATATTTTCATAATCCTACAAAACATAGAAGACAATAAACTTTAAAAGAGAAAAAAAATCCACTCATAATTTCTACAGTTCTGACAGCACGGATCACCCAAGAAAACTTGTACCCAGAGACAAAAATTATGTCTGGGTAGCTATCTTCTCCAAGGGAAGAGTTAAAGGCAATATTTTCGTGGTTCAAAGAAAACAAAGCTTGGAGAATGTCCTAGACTTTGAGCTTTATCTTCTGATGTTACAATTGAGTTTTGGAGTGAGTTACAGACAGATTCTCTCGGATTCCACATAATGATGGCTAACATGTACTGAGTATTTACTCTCCGCCAGGCTACAGGCTAAGTCCTCCACGTGGGTGCTCTCATTAGAGCCTCACAACCACTCTCTCCAGTCAGTACAATTACCATCTCCCTTTATGGCTGAGGAAACCAAGCCCGGGGAGCTGAAGTAACCTGCCCGAGGTCACATACTACTCAGTGGTATGTTAGTTCTCCCCAGTAGGTCCTACCTTATTTCAAGTAAATGACTGGAAATAAGTTGTATTATACCCTTTTGATTCAAAAGATATTATCGTTTATACATCTGTGAATGACATATAAAGGACACAGTGAGTGAGTCAATGGCCAAACTGGGATTAAAACAGGGAATTCTATGGTTGAGTCTTGAGATCATGCTTTTCTGACTGAGGTAGGATGGTCTCACTGCTACTCATACGAGGCTCCCTGAGCAGCCAGGAGAGCACAGCCCTGCCTCATACACCAACATCACCACCTTTGAAGAAAAGGGATTCACCAAGAATTACAGAGGAGCTCCATGGGTTCCCGCCTCCAGGGCTCCCCAGGCTACAGGCAGGACGCGGGGCTCACAAAACAGCAAACAACTTCTCAAAGCAGGGGGCAGTTCTCAAGAGGCTCAAGCCACATGTCTGATGAGAAAAACACCTGTATCAAAATTGTCTGGACCCAGGCACCCCATGACTGCCTTAGGGTCTGTTAACTCATTAAATGTTTGTCACCACCTGGAGAGCTAATCCAGACTGTTCTAGCCTTTAGGGTCTCTAAACAAGGAGAAGCATCAAAGAATGAACTCATTCCTGCTGGGGCTATAATCAAATTTCCTCTAAGGATTTACACTGGGAATGTAGAAGCCAACGTCTGCATCTATTTTCTTCTGTTGATACTTTCACTGTAGCACTATAGAAGACAGTCGTTTCTCTCTGAGATTCAATACACCCCCCACCCCGAATCTTACAACCTTACACAGCTAGCAGGAATCAGGTATCTAATAGACCCAAGCTGTTTCTAGTTCTATTACATTTCTTTCCTCTCAATGACAATAACTACTGCTTAAATTCTGGACAAGTTTTATGTACTATTTTGGTTAGACACCTTTAAGGCACAAGTATTAACATTTTTAAAAACTTCTGACTGAACAGTTCTTGTTCTTACACCATGAAGTGAAACTATGAAATGACATGGAACCTGAACTGGAATCCAACAATACTACAAATGCACCAATTTTTAACGAGCTTTTTTTGGAGTTGAGAAATTAAGCTTGTCTAATAGTCTAACCTGCCAGAAGTGAGATTCATTTCTTTCCCTTTCATTTTAGTAGCTCTTCAAAGCAATCTAAAGCCATCTCACATGTACCCTGTCGACAACGATAAGCAAAAATTCCAGTGCAGTGGCACAGGGGGAACAGAGCTCTGAGGACACTCACCGGCTATGGCGCCAGCGAAGAGCAGGCTTCCGGGGCTAATCTGCCCATCTTCATTTGCAAGGGAAGCCTTCACATGAGCATAGCATGGGAAGTAGATGGCCGAGAAAGGAATGTCCCGCAGAAAGCACGCTTTGGCACCCTGTACGTTTGAAAAGGAAGAAAAACCACATGAAACACATATCCCATTCAGAAGATCAAGCTTCTTTGGAACTTCCCTCAGAACAAAATATTCCTGGAGAAGACCAAATTTGTACTTAACAAGTTGAAAGGGGAACAGAAAAAAAAATATATAACCCAAATTCTGCAAGTAATAAATCTGAATCTTGTATTTTAAAATAAAACATTTTACTGTGTGGTATAAGCGAGAGGGGAGAGTTCTTGTTTATTCTAATGGTAAGATTTCGATGAAAACATTTTCGGAACTCTGCCTGCCACATCCTTTTAAATCCCTAATTGATGGCAGGTCACTGGCATTTCAAGGAGGATCTGTTCTGAGAAGATGGGCAACAACAACCAAGATACCTCTGTGTTTACACACTAGGAAGTGGACAAATTATAAAGGTGGTAGGGGAAGGGGTTTGTTTTTCATATTGTTTGAGACTCTGGTGAAAATGCTGGACTCTTTCCCAGAAAAAATTACACATATGTAAAAAATTAGACACCTTTTCAAGGGGTTCATGGATTCCCCCAATTTATTCATATACTTAGCCCGACTGCCCCAGGGTTTATGAAACATTGATAAATGCCTGTCCTAAAGCCTTAAAATGTTTATAATAATTCCTATATATTTAAGAGCTCTGTGTAGAACAATTAGCAACTAAGGCAAAGTCTTCACCAAATAATTTCTGGTGCCAAAATAATGCCATGGGGAGGGCTTGAAAATTGATGCATGCCCAGAAATATGATATAAAATTCTAATGAAAACCACAAGACATATACTGTGTTTTAGGTAGGCTAAACCCACCTACCTTCAGAAGCCCCCCTTTTCAACACTTAATGATTTAATACCATTTCTTTCACAGATTTCTAATGCCTAAAAATTTTCATCAAATTTAGAGATTCTTCAAGGAAAATAATGAATCCATCCAGATTCCACAGATCTAGCCAAGCCCAGTGACATTTATTGAGGTCTAGTGATGTTGGCTCTTGGGTATTTGCCTGATGCCAGCCCCCAATCTGTCAAAGTTCCTTAACACTACACATCTGTTACTGCAGCCTTTGCTTTTCGGACACCCGCATTACACTCCTGACTCACACTGAGCTTGTGGGTAATAAAGCCCTTAGTCTTTTTCATATGAACCGCTATTAACCTAGGTCTACTGTAACTTAATTAGTTGTCCTAAACAAGTAACATAAGCAGGGCTTTGTGTTTAATCCTATTAAACTTCATCCTAGTTTGGCCCATCCTTCCAACCAGAACAAATGCTTGGAATCTGGATTCTGTCATGTTGGCTGTTCTTCAGTCAACTCACCCATGGATGTGTTAAGCTGCCTCTGGCCACTTTGAGTACAGATCCCCCATCACGTATGGCCAATCAGCCCACACTTCTGTTAACACCCAAACTGTTAAATGCGTAACTGAAAAGAAGAACTACAAAATTCACCACACCCAAATTCCTCATTTTATACATGTGCAAATTGGTGCTCAGGACAGTTAACCTATCAATCGCAGGTTTATTAAGGGCCTTGCTGTTGGCTTGCTTAAGGGACCTCCTTGGAGGCAGTGCCAGAGACAGGTCCAAAACTCAGGAGGCTCAAGTTTTTTCCACCTCTCCCAGTTTTTTCAAGGGGAAAAAGTACAGTATAACACCAGTATCCATGTAGCGTCCAATCCTTTCCTGATGATTAGCTTTTCAAAAAGTTATAATCCAGGGAGTTACTGTGTAAGGGTAATACTATCACTCATTTGTTTGTCTATTTTCACTTCCTTTTCCTTATTTTGCCTACAAACCTTCCCATAAGTTCTGTTCGCTATTTGCTCACATGCAGAGTCTGTCCAGGAGATATTCAAATTAAACACCAAATGACCAACTCATATTAAGATCAGTTAAATCTTCTTCATGTCTGGCTCCTTCAATATAGTAAAAAAAAATTGCCATATTACTGACTTACTAAACAAATCACTTTGCAGTAATTTTTAGGATGATAAAATTCCTCCTCACACGAATCCTGCTTTTAACTAAATCTATTAGTTTTTACTACGGACCTCATCTCCCAAATTTCTGCATCTATAGAACTTCAGTCTAGATGCTCTGCTCATTTTTTTTTTCTTTTTTTGCTGGTAATATTTTCCCTTTAACATGTTTTTCCCCCCGATTAGAAAATAGTAAGTGCCTATCACAGACAAAGTAAAGTATTAAAAATTTAAATTGCCCTTAATTTAAAGTATTAAAAATTTAATTTGCCCTTAATTTTCACCAGCAAGAGATAAACACTGCAACCACCATATATGTTTTGGAGCATCGCCTTCAACAGTAATATTATCAACCGTTCCATAGTCGGGGTCATGCTTCTGTGGTTCAGTTATGCTTTTCTTCTCCTTAAATTCATGCTATCCAGTTTTTTGGTTTTCTTTTTTGTGGGAGGGTGAGGGGGCGGTATGGTCTAACATCTCCTCAGCCATACTGCCTAAATTTCTTTCCTATATGCTGTTTTAAAAACTCCACCATCATCACGGTCTTGGCTGTCCTGTGGATTAGGCCCAGTATTGTCACCCTCGTCAAAGCTTTGTAATGACTTCACTTTCCCATTTTCCTCTCCTGGTCAGCCTGATTCCTCTCAGGTAAAGCTACTCGATGCCCCATTCATCTGGTCAATCAAGGCACACCTATCACTCTACATCGTCTTTGATGACTGCTAAGCTAGGCACATCAACCTCTTAAATACCTCCTCTTCATTCATTTCAACCCAAACACCACCCTTTCCAAGTAAGTAGAAGATAGACAAGGAGTAGATTCCACATGGCTCCACACTGTCTACACTTTCTCAGTGCTGTATATCTGCCTACGTCAGTGTTGCCTATTTCAGAGTGTAGGCAACCAGGAGCCAGAAACTACTGCCTGATTTAATTTAGAAAACAACAAAATCTTGGGCTGTTAGGGCCTAAGACATGTTCCTGGTGTCACTGATTTGGCTTTGCCAACTCCCACAGAAAACACCACAACTAAAGAGAGAAATGAGAGGCTTTGGGATACACTGATATGTGATCTGAAATTAGAAACATCCCTGTGACACAAGAAGAGTAAGGCCAAGTGAAGCAGCAGCTGGGTTCTCCCAAGAAGGAACTCTGCTTTCCCGAAATCATGACAGTAAATCATGTATCAGTGTGAGAATAGGAGCCTAATAAGAGGTGTGATATGCTTTAAGAGATGTCTGAAAACAGTTCCAGATGACTACGAAGAAAAATGACTTGATCAAAACACAGATGAACCAACAAACAAAGAAAGACCACATCTAAGGAAAAGGCGGAGCTACACTGTGAAACACTAAAGGAAAAATGGTCAGAAATATGCTGCATTTTTCCTACCAGGGATCAGACAATGTGCTTAAATAATTTACGCATGCTGGAGCCAAGGTGAGACTCTGTAAGACGTTTCAGGTTTCTGATTATCTGAAAAACAGGAAGGAAAGGGAAAGTGAAGGAAGAAAGTTACCTTGTGGAATGGCCACCATCTCTGCTTCACAGAGGCAGGACCATCTAGCCAGCAAGTGAAAACATTTAGAAACTCTAATTTCCACTGAGCAAGGTATGAAGCAGCCCTGGGACCTGAGAGAGGTACCCTCCCCTCTATGGCTGTGTGGCTGTGTAATGAGAGAGCACTGGGGGAAACAGAGCTCTGAACCTTCCTCTCCTGTCAAAATGGCCAAAGGGTGCCTTCTTCGGGGCAGGGAGGGGGACAGAGGTTTAGGACTACATGAGGAAATAATTATCAAAGTCCCATGTAAAGTTCAAGTCCAGGACAAGCGTGAGGGCCGGTGGGGATGAGGAGGTCTGTGGTCCCTGCCTCTCCCGGAGCCTGCATCCTCCCACAGCCCAGCACCTGCTCAGGCATCTCCCGGCAGCACATCACTTCTCCTGAGTCATGAGGTGTCTCTCACACCCCAGGCATCAAAGCCCAGTTCCCAAGGAAAGCTAACTTTGCAAAGGGTTGAAGAAAAAGGCACAGGCTTATTAAATTTTCCTGGTCTCCTCCCCCCCTCCTCCCCCGCCCCCCGACTTCCTCCAGGCCTAAGGCACAAAGGCAGGTGCCAGTTTGGCACAATGAAAAGGGAGACAGGATGTGAGAAAGGCATTTGAAGTTCCAACAGCGAGAATGTTCCCCAGATTCCTTGATAAATCCTTCACTTCTCAGTGAACACCCATCCTCCAGTCCTACATCAAAACATAAACCTGTTTGACTTGAATTCTACTTGCCCCACGTACCATTTTTACCAAGTGATCAGCCATTCTGAACAGGCAACTTTATAATAAAGGGGAACATTCCATGCTGCCCAAGAGCCTGCGTCAGCAACACAAAAAGAAGTACTTTGGCCATTAAAAAATTAATAAATGACAAAGTGTGTACCACCTAAAATAAATCTTTAAATGTTCCTCCCCTTAAGAAAAATCCCCACATTTCCCTGCTCTAGGCAGCCCTGCCCTTGGACATTCCCTGGTTGGCCCTGAAGTTCCTTTGTACACACAGTAAAATCACTTGGGGGAAATTAATAAATGAAAAATGCAATCATCTGATCTCTTACTCTTCGTTAAAGCACTCTTTCTCCAAAAAGGGGAAATTATTATTCTTTTCCTTTTTAATAAAAGGCCCACTAATAACAGACAGGAACAATAAAAGGCATCTCAGGGGAGACCTATATGTGAATAAACTAGAATCAAAACTCAGATCTAGTTTAATTATCAACTCTGGCTCTGTTCCAATTCCATATCCCTCCAAAGTCTCTCTGTCACCATTCTAGTTAACGTCTAGGAACTTCATTTAACTTCAGTGGTCCATGGTGCACACAGGCCAATTAGACATGTTTAGAGACGCTGGCCACTGTATCGCCATGGCAAAGGAAATATCTGTTTTACTTCCCATGCTTTTTTGGATGTGGACACTATGGTGAAAGCCCAAAGGAGCTTTAATCAATTCTTAAGTT